TTCTCAAGTGGAAATTGTGAAGAAAAAACCATGTGAAGGCCATCTTTTGCGAGGGGCAACTCCAATGTACTGCCAGAGACATAAAGAGTTTTTGGAGGGGTGCCACAGGTGTCTGCCATGTATTGTGATCATCCAATGATATTGGACCACAGGAGCATAAATCCATGCCTCCAACGGTACTAATTTGTGGAATGGTCTTGGGGACAAATGGAGACAAGGGAAAGGTGAAGACTGAATATTCCTTCAAAAGCACAAATGAATAGTGGTTGTGAAGAAAATTGGCTGGAAAATTCTTTAAATAAATGATACTGTTAATGTAAATGGTGGAAAACCAACCCCAAAATCCCCTTAATAAAAAAAAAAAGGTTTTAATGAGTAAATCATAGAGATGAAGCAAGCATCAAGGACAGGGCCCTCTGCACCCTCCAGGGCCAACGGTCAACGGGTCAATATGGTCCGACTCGCTTGCCATCATTGGCCCAGTCGACGTAGATGGGATGTTCACCTGTGCTGACCCGGCCCATTGGCCCACTGAAATAGTTGGATTTAATGGGTTTTGATGGGAATTTAACCAGCAACAATGGTGATTTAATGGGACTTTAACAAACAACAATGGTGACTTAAAGGGATGTAACTGACAACCATGATGATTATTGATTGATTTAGCCATTCTAAAACTGTGATAATCGGATTGATATGGTGATTTTCTGGCTGGATGTTCTATCATCCCAAGCAGCTGTGTTTTCTCAGCCATGACATCTTCAGGGCTACTCCCTGATAATTCAATATAGCTATTGAAAATACCATGTTTGATAGGTAAATTAACTGTAAATTGTCATGTTCAATAGCTATGTTAATTCTTTGGGCTAACAAGCCAATTCCGTTGACTTTGATAAATCATATGGTTGACTTTGCTAGTGTATTCCAGCGCTCTTATTTCGGGGAGGTTCATCCACAGTTTTCCTGATCTTTCCCATAGGAAAACCCCCCCTGGCAAGGGGGGGCCCAACCACTACTCCACCACCATTCCAAGCGATGATAAAAGCACCAGCAAAAGCATGTTAACATATCAAATGCCTGATTCTTGCTGGAAAAAGCGACCTAAAAACCATTTGTTTTGCAGTGTTTCTTCACTAAAGCCCCCTGAAATTCCCCTTACTTTTTGCCGCTTCAAATCCCCGTCTGTGAGTTCCCCCGGTGACGGCTGCCTTGTCTGAAGCGATACTTTTGATGTAAACGTTGCAGCGCCATCTCCGCCTCCGCACTGTAGAGCCAACGGGGTCATACTTACACTTGGGCCATGGTGTTGCTGAAGTAATTAGAAAAAGGATTGCAATTGAGATAGTTTGTGCTATTTAACGCCCATTTACTAAGCAGAAATCCCATGGCCCATCTAACTAGATATAAACCGAATTGATCCATGAACAAAACTTAACAAAACCAGAATTAACCAACAAACATGGTGGTATAATCGGACATGGGAATAATTACAACTGGAGCATACTGAGATCTAATGTAGTATATTTCACCAACAATACTATGTTGGGGTGTGTCTGCAAGTGGTGTGTACTACCCAAAAAAATTGCTTTTGGAGAATTGTGTTGCACAATCATCCAACTGAGTAACAAGTCGTAAGTGATTATTTTATGTGTTGATTCTCGGTGTTGGAGTACTTTTAAGTTGCCTACATTCAGAACGTTAAACAGTTTTAGTGTGTTTTCCTAGTTGTAACTGCCATCTTAGTAGATATTTACATTCATAGAGTTATACCCGTAAATATTATATAGTACATACAATAATATAAATATATATACATATAGAATGAGACCCGCATTTTTGGAGGATAATCCCCCATCCACTTCTGTGAGTTGGGCAACCAACTCCCCAGTGCAAATGCCGGCCTCTTCCACAGTATGAAATTCAATCTCGGTTAGCAAAACGGGCATCCCCAGGAATGGGGTGAGAGCCATGGAGGTGCCTACCTAACACACACACACACACATAGTATGTATATATATGTATATATGTAATTATACATATATACATATACAATATCTATTTAAGGATGGCTCGATAAATAAGTAAACAAATAATATCTAGTGTAAAGAATTTCTGTAAAGGCCTAAGTCCGGAAGATTCCGTCAAATGGCCTATGACCGAGGACCTCCAGTTTCACAGGGTACCTGAACCATTGAACACATGGCTTTGGAAATCCAGGGGTTTTCCGTCAATGATTTACACATGGTGGATTTTCCACATCTACGTCAGTTTAACATGATACCCGGCCGTTGAAGTCAGGATCCAATGGCTGCCATTCGGGGAACTTGCACCATTCCGGGCAACTCCCAAACATCAAGCCAAGGTGTATACACATAAATATATATATATATATACATATGTATATATATATATGCATACATACCCATGTATATATATATATATTAATGACATCGCTTTTCGAAAACACCAGTGGATCAGCCCACTGAATCACCAGCCGGGAGGGATTTCTGCATGTTGCATCATGTTCCTATGATATGTCTATATTAGTTTTTGACATGTACTATCTATCTATATATATACACATTATAACTTTATAACCATTATATTACTAGATTCCAGACAAAAAATGTAACATAGAAATGTTATTTATTTATATATATATATATAAAAGCTACAACACCCCTAGTATTTTGCACAGCTCAGGCCCCTGCATATGCACAACTTCTATAGTTCTTCGAGCGCCCGCAAATGACATGGACCTCGCCCGCTTGTCGCCCTTGTTTTGGTCCCGTGGAATTGTGTTGTACGGCCGTGTCACAAAAAAGTGGTAACAACGTAGGTTTATGGTCATAGTTATAAGGGTTATAATATATATATATAAATTTATCCAATATATATATATATAAATATAAAAATATATTTATAATTATTTATATATATATAACATACATATATCCAAACTCTTGGGGATTGGTGCCGCAAATGGGGTAATGAGGTTTAGACCCAATGCCAGAGTCACCATCCCCCGAATATGGGATGCAAATGGGCTGGCTACTTTGGAGACATACATTGCCTTGGATCGTTTGAACTTGAACATAATTTATCCCACTGGTCAAATACGTTTTCTTATTTTGCGGTAAAGTAAACCATGCGGTGGAAAAAATCCGCTGCTGCTTTTGTGTGAAATAATGACGGGTACCCTTTGGGAATCATACCTGGCAATGCATGAACTTTTTCGCAACCCCGCAATCTAGCAGTTCTCCAATATACAAATGAATCGTCTAGCTAGCAATGGTGGATTCGCCATCAGTTTCCATGTTAGGGTGCGAAAGAGTCCCGACTGTCACGATTCAGAGAATATACAATATAGAGCAAAACATGTTGGCAACCAAAACAGGCTGGAATTGTCAGTGGAGGTCAGTGAAATCAGGTCAAAGAACCAACAAATCATATCCTGCCAAGTTCAATGATGACACGCATTTTACACTCTGTGAAATAAGTATGACTAAGTGCACAGTAGGCTTTGTGCCAAACACATGTTGGGTAATATAATCCCGTTTGGAACCAGAAGTCAGCAAGCGATTGTTACAAACCGGCTGCAGTCCATTTCTGCGGCTTAACTTTCACAACTGAACTGCTTGAACCTGCATTCTACCTGAATGCCCTTATAAAACTCATAGGGGTTTACCGTGATTTACGCAAAGATTTGGTATACCCCGATGTTTGTGCCGTTTACAACCATTTACATACCCCGTTCCAACATTGGGCGAATATATGTATATATATATGTATATATATATATATGTATATAATATATATATAAATATTATAGATACATATATTATAGGTATTATATATTATATTATTTAAAATATATATATATATACACTAGGGCAATCAAACACGGCTAGATGGGGAATGCCCTATAAATATATAGAGGTTTTGATTGGGTATTCATCTATAAATGGTGGGCTTTTCATTGCTACGTTTGCTTTTCAGAGGAGAATCATTAGTCATTACTAATCACCAAACCATTATTAACCACTACTAGCCACTATTAAAACCACTATTAAGCACTATTATAATTACTATTAACCACTATTATCATTAATTAACTACTGTTAACCACTACTAGTAATTACTAGCCAGTATTAATTGTATTAATACCTCAGTTCGGTGGAGCCCTCCCTGCCGCGCTGGGGCCTTGTCCAACCCGCCGTACTTCCCAAAGACCTCACTGGCCCACAGCAGACATCTAGGTATGCGATGCAAACGAAGGCACACAGAAACAAATAATATATATATATATATGAAATCCATGGAAACTGAAAAATAGATATATATATATATATAACATGGATATATATATATATATATATCAGTTAATTTAAATATATATATATAACTAGTTTCCATCATTATAGATACATATATATGAACAAATACACGTGACAAAACGTAAACACATACACACACATATATATATATATACACATACACACATAATTACGTATATGTATCTATAGGTGGGTCTGGACATTTCTCGACAGAATCCTCAACCTGCGCCTTGGCTGTAAATAAACATGTTTGCTCACAACATGTGCTATAGTGATCTATAATTTGTATTATATTAATAAGTTCATGCTTCAGAGTCACAAATGAATGTGACATCCTCTTATCCAAGGTCTTTTCCTTGTGCAAATGTTTTCAAAAACATATGCGCCATTTTCAGAACATCCTATGTCATCCCGCCATTGTTGGGGAATACTGTATTGTGGCCAGATTAACTACATAATTACAGCGGTACGACGGTATGACCATCCCCTTTTATGGGAAATGTGTATTGTATTAGATAGTTGTATTGCATCGAGTATTCTCATCCAAATGAGTCTTCAACACCTGATCTGACCCTGAAATTATTCGCTAAGGTAGCAGGACATCAGGACAGGGCCACATCCATATGCCCTATCATAACCAGTTAACAGCATTTTTCTCACACCTCAAAATCCGCTCATTTTTGCTCTCACAGTCCCAATTCCAGCACTTTCCAAAGCTGCTAGAGTTGTAAGTTGTGATCTTGGAGTGGTTGCACAAGCTGCAACCGTGGCCAAAGTGACAGCATTCGCCTGAAGCAAAGAACTCCGGAGCATGGACAGTAACTGCGACACATGCCTCCAACAAGCCGCAGCAGCACACACCGCCATGGTTGAATTGAAGCTAAGGAGATCTCGCTGCATGCGCGCACGGTCAAATTCCAGAAACAATTGCAGGGCATAGGTCCTCAGTGAAGACTTTCAGGCAGTTGGCCGATGAGTCACAGAAAAACCAAATCACAATTTTGATTACTTTCAACCGACATTAACTAGTGGTTGGGGTTGGTGGTTACAAACCATCAGAATTACGAACCACCAGGCAACCATTGGCTAAGTAGAGTATTTATTACAGTATGCCATAATGATTTTCCCTGTTCATATCCCATTAATATGCCAACAGATTCCAAAATAATATCTAATGAGATTTGCATATCTGCAGTAATATCAGTATAATTAATCATTATGATGTTCCATATGCCAGTTGCACCAGTTGCATTTCTCAGCTCGACTGGTCGAGTTTCCAATTGCTGCCAGCTTCGCAGGCATGGATGGCCGCGTTCAACGTGATCACATTGCCTTGGCGAGTTCGGCGAAGGACTGGGGACATGTTTTCAAGCCCAAATACTTAGGATCTAAGACGTTAGTTTAGTGAGTTTCTA